TCTGATAATTCCTTTAGGTTTGGGCCTTTTGAATCAATGCAAGCATCTATCCATCCATTTTGCTTCACGCTTATCCCAGCTGGGGTTGCAAGGGGTGCTGGTGCCTATCTCCAGCTATCAGCGGGTGAGAGGCGGGGTACACCCTGGAAAGGTCGCCAGTCCATCACAGGGCAACACAGAGACAAACAACCATTCACTCACACCTAAGGAGAATCTAGGTGTGTTAGTCATGTTTTTGGGCTGTGGGAAAAAGCTGGAGTACCCGGAGAGAACCCACGCATATTCAGGGAGAACATGCAAACTCCATGCAAAAAGGCCCCGGAGCCTTCTTGCTGCAAGGCAGCATTGCTACCCACTGCTCCACTAAGCAGCCTCAATGCAAACAAATGTGGGGAAATAAAGCAGGATTTTGCTTTTTATAATGAACATGGTTGATTTAATGTGTTTAAGCGTAGTACAGCAACCCTTTAGCATGTGTGTGAAAAGAAAATGTGAGACTGGAATTAATCAGCAAACTTGCAGCGGGGGTTTTCCTCTGAGCTCTCTGGGTTTATTAGAGGCAGAAGGTAAGACACACATTTCATTTGGATTTTCTCACAGACCCTGGCCACTCTTTAGTATCTACAAAGTACTTCCTTGTCCTTCTTGAAAGCAAGAGCTACATCCAACGTACATGTTAGAAACAGTTACTTAAAAAACAAATATAGAAATAAAAATGTACAACATACAATTGATATATTTATATATATATATATAATATAATTTTTGCTCTTATCTGTTTTTTTTTTTTACAGAGGTAAAAATACTAAATGTAAAAAAAAGGATCCAATTCAGTACAAGGTGATTTTTTTTTCAAATTTGTTTTCAATTTAAATGCACAAGGAGATAAGGAGAATGTTTTCAGGCACTTTGTAAATGGCTCTGACATTTGAGATCAATGTAAAAATGAACAAATGTTAAAAAAAAACACACAGAGAAACCTTCTGAACGGGTCGGCCCAGTCCCTGATGCATCATCATTCGTGGATCCCAGTTTAGGAGAACAAAGCCAGTATGTGACTGTGAGCTGATCCCAGTAGCTTTGGATCAAGGAGCAGGATGGACAGTTTTGAAAGGATGCCAGCTTCACATACACACCCACGCATACACACTATGACATACAAGTGGATACAGGATGTATCAAACTGATACAGCCGGGGAAGGAGGACTTCCTCAACCACTCTGGACTTTTCGGCTACAGTAAAAGGACATTTCCTTGGCAAAACAATGAGGGCTGAATGCTTGTTTTTAGGATTTTGAATGTATTTTTTTAACACTTTGTGCTCTCTGAGGGATTCCTACAGACATCCTGCCTCGTTTCATCTTTAAACAGCTTATTGTGTTCCCCATCACATCCCAGACCCTGCCAAAAGGCCAAAGGCTGAGGAGGCAGTAAAGCAGCAGGTGGGAAAAAGTTCCCTGCCTTTTTTTTTTCCTTTCTGTTTTTTTGCGACCTTTGCTGTAAAATACAGAAAACCTTAAACCGTTTCTTTTGCAGTCCAGCTGAGGTGTCCTGACTTCACTCCTCGCTTCTGTTGCTGAGCCAAATCTGGCATGCAAAGGGGCTGGTGGTGGCGTGCCCTAAGGCGCAGAGCAGGTCACATGTGGTTTCAGCGAGTTTGTTTCTTGTGTTCTCAACCGCAGCTTTTAAAGCGTGGAGGCATGGTCTAAATTCTGAGATAAATTAGGTCACTTTACAAGTAAGAGCACAGAGTTCAGTTTTGTCTTAAGTTAAATTAAAACAGCAAATTAACAGTCTATTTTACGTACATGTTCTTAGCTTTCATAGGGCTCCATCCAGACCAGTGGTTCACAGGAAAAGTTGGGGTTGAGAATAAGGATTTACAAGTAAATATAAAAAGAATCAGTAAAGCATATTTATACCATACATTTTATAATAAATGAAAACAGTAAGAGATAAAGGAGTGTGTTGAGTTTTGATTGTGTTCCTGTCATTTTTATAACCAATTAACTGAGCTATTAGTCGTTCCAGCTGATCCTTTGGCTCACGAGTTGACATAGGCCAGTTAGCAAACATATAACAAGCTCTTAAAAAGTCACATTTTCACAGCTGCAAAGATTTTCTTGTGGTTTTAAAGTACTTTTTTTTAATTAAATACCAGAGAAAGCACAGAATTGACAACTTTATCAGATGCTGAGCACTGCAAGTCAGTTGGCTGAAAGACAGCTACTACACATTTTGCGTGATAAGAAAATGTACCTGTCAGGAAATATACAGTCGCAAAAAAAGAAAGGAAAAAAAAAAGAAAGAGGCATTCATTGTTGGGAAACTAGACGAAGCATCATATTAAGGCAATGCTGCTCTGAAACAGCTGCAGGTCTGTAAAGCAGCAGACTGCAGGCTAGCTGCCAAGTTAACCAGGTTTGTTTCACATGTGTAGTTAAATGAGGAGCAGAGCAGCAACTAGGCATGAGCATTATTTAGCACTTTTACTTTAAAAACGACTGAAACTGAATGTAAATGCTGTTTGTTTTTGATCCATGCTTCAACAAGCTATCTGCTGTAAGCTGCAGCATGACTAATTTTTGGTGTTCTGCTATGAATAAAACCATTTAGATAACGTTTGTATTTTTAGCTTCATTTTTAATGGTGATATTGTGATACTTATTCTCAATTTTATTCTTCCAGAGAGTCTCATACCAGCACATCCCTAGTCATGAGTCTCTTCCACTACTTTGATTGTTTGACAGACAAAACAGTAATCATTGATCTAGACCACTTTTACTCAGGCCTTCCATCTTGACTGGTAAGAAAGAGAAAGGAATTGGCTGCTTTAAAAAAGGGGGTGTTGATTGTACATCGCAGGCAAACATGATTCTAAACACGTCCTTAAATGCAACAAGAACTTTTTTTATTCTTTGCTTTATTTAATTCTTGTTAGATGATCATATTTAAGCTGAGCTGATTTTTCCGATTGTTGCAGACATCTTTAAAGAGAGAGGTGAAGTTTAGACTGAGGCTCTACATCTTTAAGGCATACAGGCACTAATTCTTCTTTTGACAAAAAAAAAAAAAAATCACCTTCTGACTTCTGGATGGAGTTTCTATTTTTGCTGAGTGAAATCTGACAGGAATAGTGAAACTCAGCACGTGATCTGGCTAAGGGACTTCTTAGGCACTGTTTAAATTCGCAAGAAAGACGCAAGGATGCTCGATTATCGTAGCGTTACTGAGGCAATGTCGAATCACACTCTTAAGGGTAGAAAATAAACACAGATCTTTGAAAGATCTTTAATGTAGTAAAAAGCTAGAATGGATTTGTTGAAGTGAGATTCTGCTATGGTATCCTTTAAAGAAAACAGTCACATGGCAGCAAGCCTGTAAGCAGTGAAAGAGGCCATCAGAGCTGCCCTTAGCTTTAGCTGCCCTTAGCTTTAGCTGACCTTAGCTTTAGCCAAACTAAACAGTGGGGTCAGATGCAGGATTTTCCCTGCAACCAAAGGTAAAATGACTTTCGATGTTGTTGTATCCCTGGGCTAAACATCTTTACCCGCATTGCCTACCGACGGTGGTCAGAGGGCCTGGTGGCCCCAGGGCAGCTGTGGCTACAATGTAGCTCACCACCATCAGTGTGTGTCTGAATGTGTGAATGACTGACTTTGGACAAGTCTCCTGACTTGAAAAGGCGCTACAAGTACAGGTCATTTAGCTTTAGCTGACCTTAACTTGATTTTGAAAATTTACATTTCATTGGAAACGAGGCTATATTTGCAGTTATCCAACAGCCATACAAGACAATGTTGCCTTTTGTGTTACTACAAGAAGCTAAGTGGATTAAAACTGCTGCCTATAAACAACAAATTAAGCTAAATCTAAAAGAAAGGGATTAGGCTTGACTCTGATTCACATTAGGCTCTTTTCTTGGTTCTGTATTTCTTTCTTCGGATCAGCATAGAGAGCAGATTATCCGCCCCGGTTAATCCTGAAAATTGGGCCTATTTTTACTAAATAGCTGTTAAAGAACAAGCTTAACTCTAACATCACGTCAAACCTTTATGATTTTGTTATCAGGGAAAAAGATCTATTATAAAAACAATTACTGGTTGGGAGCTGAAGTCGAGTCTAAGGCCTCAAGAGTGTACGGTTACATTCAAAGGCATTCATATAGAAAGCTTATCTAAAAAAAAAACCTAAAAAGATTACATTAATCTAACCCTACCCTCATTTACCGTGTATTGAAGTGCATTCAAATATTCGTATGACAGTTTCAGGGCCTTAAACATTGCATATACTCATCTGCAGGATGAAAGGTTACTTGGGCATAGCCTACTTCCAATACAAAGGCCTTCTTGGAAAGAGTGAATGGACATGAATTTGTGTACATCCTTGTATACATATGTATGTCACATACTGTAACTAAATTACTTGAGTCCGCACTACTCTGAAAGAGAGCGCAAAACTTCTGGATGTTGTGTAACACCATTGAGGATGGTGTATACCTGAGTTTTTCCAGACAATCAGGTAGCGACTTAAACCTTGTCCAAAGGTGAAACTGTTTAGTTAATAAAACCAGTTGGAGAAGTAAAGTCAATCAACTTCTTCTGCTGTATTGTGGTATTCCCACATGACATTTTTTTGTATTGCCAAAATCAGCTAAAAAGGGAAGTCCGTCTGAGGATTCACCAACGTTTCTACAGACTTACTGCTATGTGACATCAGTCTGCTGACCTGTTATTGATAACAACTTCACCAATCCCACTTCAAAACTCCAAACTGCTCTTTTAAGAGGAGTACCACATTTGTTTGTATGAGCAAGGATGTGTTCTGAGAACTATAAAAACTATATACATTAGCTTTACTACAAGCTGCAGGAGAGACAACCAAAGGCCTCAACACACACACATACAAACACGCATACGCACAAAGCAAGCACACGCACGCACACACGTACGTTCCCAAAGAGGTGTAGTGTCTGATTTCTGTTTTGAACTGAGCGGGCCTAATGTTTGAATAGAAAATAAACAATATGGCCACAGAGACTTTAAAGGAAAGAAAAAAAAAATTACAACAAAGAATTTAAGTTCTTTGAGGCCGAGTCAAAGTACAAATATAACAATATAAAGTACCTGCATATGTGATACATGACGTATAGGTTGGCTATAAAAAAGGCCCCCTGAAAAAGACTGCTCTCTCTTTTGAAACAGAGCATGAAATGGCCACATGGAGAGCTGAGAGAACTGTCTGCCATAAGGGGGAGCTTATCTTCCCAGGCTGTTCACAAAATGCAACAACTGTTTTTTTTTTCTTATTTGGCTTATTTCAGATTCTGGAATTTGTAGAGAAACCCAGAAAAACCAAGGCAAGAGAGCGAGCAGCTGTGGCCACTTGTCCCTCCTCTGTGAGCGTTTTCCCCATCCCTCCTTTTCCCTGTGCTTGCGTTGGCTTAAGTTTTTTTGGATTTTCCTCAGAAGATTCCAAGCAGGGCGTCTCAGCTCTGGGCCTTGTGTCGGCCTCCGCAGCAGCCGCATGCCAGCCCCGCCCGGTGGCAAGCGTGGAGGGGTGGGTAAAGGCAAAGGCAGGGCGCCACCACGGACAGACCGAGAAGAGCCAACCAGCGAGTGCCTAGACGGCCGCCGCCGCTGCCCTCGCCCCCGTCGCAGGAGCAAGGGTCCGAGTACTCCCCTTCGGGGTCAGACATGCAGTGATAGAGCATGGTGTCTGCCAGCCACATGCAACTGACCCGTCGGATACACACGCGCAAGGGGTCTGGAGCATCTTGGCAGCGTCCTCTCCGATTTTCAGAGAGGTAAAAGGTCTCGCCACAGTGCTCACACTGAGCACGTTCCAACCCATTGTCCTTCCGCCCCTTCCTTCCATTGGAGGATGGGGAGGAGCTCGCGAAAAATGAGCGGGGCTGGTTAGAGACGACAGAGGAGAAGGGTTGGTGGTAGGAGCCGCCGTGACCCTTCGAGTTCAAGGATCCTAGGGCGGGATCAGAGTCTGAAGGCGACAGGGCCGGAGCCAGGGGGTAAGTATAGTCGTGTTTATGCGCCTCTGTCTTGTCAAAGTGTACATAGGATTCAGAGTCATCCGAGTGGATGAATCTGTCACGCACTATTGCGTGTCTGTAGTCCTCGTAGCCCGTGATCCAGGAGCGCTCCGCTTGCCGTCCAAGGAAGCGATCCGTGCTTCGCTCCCAGCTCCGCTCTCTCGGGTTTATTCGGACAATCTCCTCATCGAAGGTGACATGTCGGTGAATCCGAGACGATGGCTAAGAGGAAAAGACAAAAAGAGGCTTTACCTTAAATAACCTTTACTTGAACAGTAAATGGCAACAGACTTCATTAAACCATTAGACAGTAAAGAACCTTAAAATACACTCATTTTAAACAGGTACAGTATAAAATTACACAGAACAATTCCAGGAACAAGAAACCTTTTATATCTCAGAAAGAAGAAAAATCTTACAATCGTCAAAAAAAATTCATTAGTAACAGTTAAGCCTGCTTAACGGCCTAAACAATCCGACTACATCTCCTATAATGCATCGCAACAGCTTATCCTTCTTAAGACAAAGATGCACAAGTTATGCCTGTGGAAGACTCAAATGCAACAAGAAGACTTATGGAACTTTTCGTATTGTCAAGAAATGGCAAACCAAGTCAGTCCTACAGTGTTGCCAAGCACACAGTTTACACACAGCGTTGACATGGCACTGAGCACATGTGTCCAGATGGAGCTCAGGGAACTTTTTTTGTTTCATGAATAGCTCAGTCTTGGTTTCATCTGAGCAAAGCAACCATTTTTAGTCACATTCCTGAGTAGGTCGCAAAAAAGTTGAACTGTAAATATACAAATCACCCATTTACCTGGTCCAAGTAGTAGTGGTCTGTGAGGCGGTAGGAGTCATGCAGGTCATGTCGATGTCCTGATGGGCACTTGTGTCTCTGAGGAAGGGGTGAGGACTCGAGAGGCGGTGGCAGGGAGCCGTCCAACTTTTGAGAGGAGTTGGACGAGCTGTCCGTGGCGTTCTGAGTGGACAAACAAACACAGGATGTGCGCTTAACAGCCGCTCTTTCATTGGAAGTGGCAGACAAATAGCCAGTGTTGGAGGACACCGTGATTGGACAAACAAAAACAGGAAGCCTCGAAGCAGCACTGATTGGAAAAAAACAGGAAACATGTGAACTTTCAAAAGCCACTTGATCCAAGTTTAGATGGCAGAAACTTAGACTCCTGCAGTAACAACCAAACTTACTCATTTTAGCTCCAACAAATGCAAGTAGAAACTCAGTTATTATGCTTCCTTTTTAAGAGCTTGAATAAATTGAATAAAGTTTAAGTAAGAAACAAAAAACTTTTTAAATGTTGTATGTATGCAGAGCAACTTGATATCAGGACTGCAGACATTTGCACACAGTAACCAGAGTCACCTTTTTTGGCCTCTCCGATGCACTCCCCCCCGATCCTAACTCTCCTACCCTCACAACAACCTGTTCCACATTCCACCTCTCATCTCTCGCCGGCACTGGGCTGCTGCATATGCCTATATGTGTGTGTGCACGGATAGTATCCTGTTCCCTTTCCGCTAAAGGCCGTCAGGGCTTGAATCCAACCCAAACCTTGGCCAGACACAAGGCAGTCGGGGTGTTGCCATGTAGTGCTCAGACGGTCACATTTTCAGACAGAGCAAACCGGGGGTCGTCCTCTGGGGGCACCGTCTGACAGGACGGTTGGTGCTCCTCCTGTCTCATCGTGTCATCATGGTTATATGCGTGCATGGGTGGGAGCTATTATAGATGTGATCAGTCAGGGGAAAGAGTCTAACTAGACAATGGCATCCAAACTTTTAAAATTAAACTTTCGTCACAAAGGCCAAAATCAGCAAGTTCAGATGACTTCCAGGCTCAATTTCTTATATAAAAAAAGAAAAAAAAATTCATTTCCTAAGTGTTTTATATCTTCTAGACATATAAAAAACATGGTTTCAAAGCAAACAATGCAGTCTAGTTTTGTAAAGGTATCTGTAAAAAAAATCCCAAAACATCTTGCATGGTAACCCTATTAAAAGCCAACCATACACTCTCCCAAATGTTTTGGGCCCATTCTTTTTTGAAACAGACTTTTGTCTGTCTGTGCTTAAAAACTATTAAGAGACGGGTCAATGTTTAATCAATGGAGCACAGGGTTCAGTGTTTGGGATTCTATTTACTTCAAATTTAAACAGGAAAACAAATGATACTTTGAGTTTTACCTGATTTTTTTTTCTCCAAGAAAGCGCCTAGGAGCAGATCAGAAGCAACTAACAAAATATCACTAATTATAACTTTGTGCTAACATCCATGCCAAATGGAGAAAAAAATTGTTTAAATTTGCTTTGAACCAAGTAACCTCAGGTTTGCAATGTTATTTAATTGTGTTAAATATGATATTGTAGTAAACTATTATTAAAGCATTTCTTGGTCCTTACAATCTATCATTTTATGTTTGCACAAATTTCTGCACAGAAAAATGTAACCCAATGTAATTTGGTGACATTTTGCAGAGTTGGGGAAGATTCACCTAAAGCTGGACGTCAGAGCTGCATTATGCTGCTGAGATCTAAGCGGTCTAAGGACACCCCCCCAACCCTCCGCTATTGACCAAACCACCAGTGGCAATAACCTTTGGTCTAGCTGCTGGATCATAGATATTGATGGATATCCAATGCAAGTCCAGGACATGTCTTCCTATTTCAGGTTGTGATCATTGTTTGGATGCCGGCGACTTTTTATGAATCCCACAACTGCAAGCACCTGTTCAAGATGCAGACATTCGTAAAAATAAACGTTGGGTAAAAATGTTGTGTTGATCTCATTAACTCCTTGGTTATGTTTATCTGCAGACACTTCCACTACATAGCTACCACTTTGATGCATGCAGAACAAATCTGGGATGTTATCAAAGCCTCATGACCCAGATCTGGTGTGTGATCCTGTTTTGGCACCACACTGAAGACAATTTTTACAATTTCACTACCAAATTGAGGACAGTTTGTAACAAAATGGGGTTATTTTTCTTTTGCTATGTGTAAGACTAAGGTGTGCAGTGGAATTTATGGTCAGGCATGCTCTGGTAATGGTTAGGTTTGGGTTTAGTTTCAGGATTAGACCACAGAAGGGTTAAAAATGAAAGAAAATCAATAGGAGTCGATACATGGTGCTCACTACAAATAGCATAATGTTAACGGCTGAGTGTGTGGATGATGTCTGTCTGCTGAAGCCAACCCCATTATATCCTGCTCCCCACATGGATACTGCCATGCCGAGAATTTCCCCCAGCTTTCTTACAAAGCCCCAAGAGCAGCCAGCCAAAAATAACATAACATACCCGCCCCCTGGATAAGACATTACTGGGAGAAGGAGGAGCCGATACCATACAAAACCAGTCCGACTCTGGCCTCCATGGCTGCAACTAATTCAAAACACAGACCAGACTTTTCTGCTGCAAGCCCAAACTCCACAAGAGGACATGGAGAAGGGGGGGAGGGGGTTCATATTTCAGGACATCCTCTTGCTGTATATTCCAGTCCAAGGCTGGACGGAGGGCATTTCAAGTTATTTTCTGACACAAAACATGTCGAAGCTAAAAGCTGGGGAGGATTCATCCTTCAGCAGGCCAATCCTGCACGCCCGGGTCGAGTCCGGAATTGCTTCACTCCCCCTGTTGTGAATTAGCCAAACTAGAGAAGGAGACAGGAGACGATTGGATGGGGGTGGGTTGGGTTAAGTTTAGGTTTGTTAAATGAGGAATAATTTAGGGAAGTCTGCACATCATTGCTCTCTCTCCCCCTTCCAACCCCCTAAATGGCAGTAAATCTGATGAAGCACTTCCTCTTGTCCACAGTGGAGCTCTCAAGCTCCACCACAGTGTCCGTTAACCTCAGGAGGCAGATGCTAAGAGGAAGACAAACCACGTTCAAACAATGAGTGTCAATGCATTGCTCTCACGTTGTCACTTAACAGGTGGACTTTTTGAAAGCCTGCACCCCCTGTGACAACGTACTTTGACAAGAGTTTCCACCTTACACAGCTTAAACTCAGTCATATTAAATGGAGAGTGAGTGGATTTTTCCCCCTTTTTTTCTGTCCCAGATTCTCAATTCGATTTAGTTCAAGACTTTGACTGGGACAAACTATCACATGTTCTGATCTAAACTGTTTCATTCTAGATCCTTTTCCCGGTTTGGTTCAGGGTGAACATGCAGAAAATGTTTTCCACAGCAAGCTGCACTGCTAAATGTGAACGAAAAATAAGGGAATTTCCTTAAAATGAGTATTTCCAATTGATTTGAGTGGGTTAGTAAAACAGGCTGCCAATCGGGGACTTTTTTTTCACTTAATAGAGGGAAAATAAATCTAATTTCAAGTACAGTATATATAACTATCTTAATTTAAGGAAAAAACACAGTTTATTTTACTAAACTGCTCCAATAAAGACCAAAAACGCTGATTTCAAGATATTTTTTATCTATTTTATGAACAATTTTTGCAGAGTGAGCTTAGCTTGGAGGATCAAAGGGTCAGTTTTTGTCTTAAATGTCCATACCGCCTTCATCCACAGGTTTGCAGTTGTGCCTTATTTTTTTTATAAGATGGGAGGAATGCTGCTGCTTCAGTTTTTAAATTCACCTACCAAAGCAATTGGTAGCTCTAAATTTTTATTTAAGTTGATAAAACTTGAGGAGTGTTAATTTTTCTACCTATCAGATTCAATACTTTGCGTTGATGACAGAGAAAACATTATAGGCATACTATGCAACATTTTTCAGTTAATTAATGTGTTCCATAACGTTTTGGATGATTAAATCAGTCATTTCAGGTTGAACAACGGTATTCTCGGCCGCCCTGGTGGTCTGTGGGGGAAATACCGCACTTGCAATTGCAGGAGCACCGACCCGCACCCACAGGCTCAGAAGTCTCACGAGAGTCAGTCTTGCTTTACGGCGAGAACTGCTACACGCCCCCAGTTAAAAGCATGCTCGTTGCTAGCACAGTGGCGATCTTTGTGCAGTTATCATGGCGGAACCAGCGTGAAAACAGCGAAAGCCCATGTCGGAGCAGGCAAGAAAGAGGAAAAGGGCTCCGAACAGAGAGGAGTCGTACACGGGTGAACATCGGGCAAGCTTTTTCCGAATGGCGAGAGCTAAAATAAAAAGAAGGCTGCAAGGCTGACGCGGACCTCGCGTTTCTGCTGATGCAATTGTATTTAACATTGGAATGGTTTCTCTCTCTCTGTGTGCATGCTTATACTTTCACTGTGTTAGTCATTCGTTGTGTTCGCCTGTCTGCTAAGCTCAAAACAACCGAGCCTGGCTTGACGGAGAAACCAGGAGAACAGCTGTGCATATTTACGACAGTGCACTTTTACTTTTGCCCTCTGGGGGGAGCCTCGCTGGAAAATCAACATCGGTTGCATAGTGTACCTTTAAAGTTCAAGAGTGTATGGTGTGGAAATGTGGAAAAAAAACCTAAGGAGTATTGATGCTTTTGCACGACACAATGGATAGCTGGTGAAGGTGACGACACAGACCAAATCAAATCAAAGTGGCACTAAAAGAAAATACCTCAGTTAACACCACTGAGGTGAGGAACCAGGTGAGGTACGCTGTCCACACCATGAATAAAACGCCTACAACCTTAGTTTCAACTAGGGCTGCAACTTAAGGTTATTTTGCAAATCGATAAATCTGTTGAATATTTTTTCGATTATTAATTAGATAGCCAAAGATTCTTAAAATAAATTTTTTTTAAACAAAATTAAACCAGGTGAAACTCAAACTTTTCCACTTGAGGAGTTCTGGATAGAGCAGATTGACAGATCTTAAATCTTTATCTTTATCTTAAATGAAAAATGTTTATATTTTTTTCTGCAATCGTGGTATAATTACTGCTCTAAGTAGGTTTCTCTGTTAGCTAAAGGCCTGTTACAGTCTCTATATGATTAAGTGATTACTGCCTTTGTTGATGATAATTCAATAATCTATAAATCAAGATTAATCCGTTAAATAGTTTCAGCCCTAATTTCAACCAAACCTTTGGGCGTTCTATAACTCTCATAGATTTACTGGTAAACTGGTTGCAGGGAAGATGTTGGGGGTTTAGTTAAATGCTTCGATCACATCTCTAAGTAAGACGTCATTGAAGGAAGATCAATAACACCGTTTCTGGCTCTGAAGTATGGGCGGTGGCTCCGGTTGTGGTCCAGACTTCACCAGCCTTTGTTTTAATCCTAGTTTACACTGTATGTGCTTTGATTCACTGTAAAGCACTGAGATGCTCAGAGAGGCAAGGATGGAGAGCCACATAAAGGCTGGGACCAGATCAAAATAATTGGAAAAGGGTTTTTTGCCTCCAGATATTTTCAGGCATTTTGTACAAAGTTTTTTTTTTTTTTATAATTGTGCAGTTAATGTGCACATAATGCCAAAATTAATAACAGGCACTGTACGAATTGACGCATATATTAAGTGGACCACAGTTCGGCTCTGGTTGCCCAGCAAATACTACAATTAGGTCAAATTTTGGTGGACAGTGGAGGCAGCAAAAACGCTGCCATTAAAAATTACAGGTGCATTCTTAAGGCGATGTGCAGATCTCCCGGAGTTTAGGAAGTGTGCAGATCTCCCGGAGTTTAGGAAGTAGCAGAGGTGGCTGGTTCGAACCAGCTCTGGAGGTAGCACAGGAGGGTTTTTTTAAGCCAGCCATGCATCTCCAAAACACTGTTTCTTACTTAATCTCATGTCATCTTTTCTTTTCTGTATCTTTCATTTATTTTGAAAGAATATTTTTCTTTGCTAAGCTGAAACGCCTGACAACGCAACACACACTTCCTGATTATTGATACGACGAGCATTGACAGAAAAGTTTAGACTATTGAACTTGGCTTTTTTTTACCTTAATCAGACTCTTTGCGATGATAGAAAAACACTCTTAGCACTTCCTTTGCTCCAATTGGATGATTGGTGTTTGGCGTTAACGTGCCTTAAGCTATGAGTCTGTTAAATTTCATCACACTTTTTATCGATTACAAATACAGACTCACTTTTAGCTGGAAGTTTTTGTTACCGGTAAATGTCATCCCGTGAAAAGGAGGAATGCAAAACATTTGTTCAAACGGGCTTGAGCTGGATCCCCAAATCGAACAGGGAGGGCTTTGTGCTTGTGAAACAAATCAAATGAAGCCACCTCTAAAATGGAACCATCGAGTAGATCATTTTATTTTAGATGTTTTTTTTATCATAGGCTGCGAGATGAATGAGCAGTGATTTATTTTAAAAATAATGCAGCTTCACTGCCAACAAAAACTGCTTCAGATTTGTTCCACTAAAACCTCCTATAGTGCTCCTGAACACCCGCCCCCCCTGCCTCACACGCCTCCCCTCCGCTGAAGCCTCACCTCTGCGCTCCTGCTCATGTGTTTGTGTGCGTCTCTGTGGTGGCTGTGCTCTCCCAGCAGAGCACCTATTAGTCTTGGCTTTAACAGACAGCTCGAGTCAAAGATGAACCACGAGGAACTTCCTCTCGTAAATCACCAGCCCTGCACTAAGCTGGGAAACAGCTGCTCGGCTGCTGCTCTCCCTTCCAAATGGGAGGGTGCAAAGATAGACTATGTGTGAGCGCGCACAGAGGGACTTGGTAGGATAGTGGGACAAGTGACCTTGTGACCCCGCATTTCGGTGTCAGATTACAACACTTTATGCTAACTTAAGGTAAAGAGGCCCCGACACACAAATGACCCACGCTCCATCTATCTGCTGAGGCAGGTATACATAACAGAAGAGGAATGTTAATTTCTCTAAACTTTGGGCTCTTTGACTCGTTTTAAAGTATCTTTATTTATATTACAAGTTTAGAATCAGGGCAAAGGATTGTGGGATTTTCCATTTTTGATCTGGCCTCCATTTAAGTCGAACAAGATCAGAAACCACAGATTCAGAGCCATCAGCTCCCAGAATGTTGTTCGAACAATGTGATCAGGTCCAGCAGGCCCTGTTGTATCTAACCCTAACGCCCTGTGTGTTTGCAGCAGCTGCTTTATCCATCGTTACACCATAAACTAAAGAAAATGCAGCAACACCATTACCTGACCGACCAGCACTGCTGCTAAGCATCTACTTCTGTTTAGATGTGGTGATTGTGATAAAAGATGCACTTCCGCAGAGATCAAGTCCCACTCCCTAAATTATAAGCTTCTGCAAATTCAAAATGCTTCCAACCTACAGGACCTGAAGGCAGCATCTAGAAGTTGAACATGTCCTGATAAGGGGTTGAATATATTCAAATGCTTCAGTTTTTAAATATTTATTTGTTGTTCATGAAAATGTTGGGAGAAAAAAAAAAAGGTAACAGCCATATTTGTTAGTTTTTGACAGAAACCAAACCAGCTTCCATCTTGAGCTTCCTCTTCACATCACACGTTACCCTGAGGTAGAACCCACAGCTAACTTATACTTCAAAGTACAAAACCACAATAAAATCATTTTGAGCATCCATACTTTGAAGAGCCATTTCTATACGGTATGCATTTCCTTCTTTTTGGGTGAGGCAAATGCCTCCCACCCCGCCTCTGATTTTGTAAAAACGAAAGCAGTGACTTAGCACGGGGCACTGAGACTTCCTCTGCTGCTCCACTCAGAGATGCATCAACTTTGACCCCCTCTAACAAAAACACCAGCATGGCGCAAGGCAACCACGAATGTCCTCCCTAAAATCAGCAGCATGACTGAGTCAGTGTGCACAAGCAACATGACCTTTACAAAGGTTTTAAACACAAAAATACCAACATTCATTTGTTGATCCATTTTTTAAGACTATGTGGATTCAACATGCATTTAATGATGTTTTATAAAATGCTTACAGTGAAAACGTCATCGTCTCCCAGTTCTCCCTCATTCTGGAGCGCTGTAGAGGAGGTCGTGGAGCCTATGAAGAGAAAAACATGAAAGTGAGCAGCTCTGAAATTGCAGCTATAGTTTCCATTTCAGTCTGCATGTCACTGTTTAGACAGTTGAACCTGCAGAAAACAACAAACATTCTGCTTTACCATCTCTGGATGTAAAAAGAAAAACATCCTGTCACCCATCAACATTTCAGAATAACTATTATTAGTTGACAGGTTACACGTTTCTCCACATACTTTAAACTCATTCATGTCCTCACCAGGACCGACTGGTTTTACCCGTCCTGTTTAGGTCGCCACCTACTAAAACAGTCATGAATCAGCCAGGTGTTTTTCCTTGTCTTGCTTTCTTTTTTAAAACTCTTAACTTCACTGGGGAAGAAACAAACACTGTTTTAGGCAGAGATGCACCCATCATGGTTTTCTGGACGACTTTACATTTCTGGGTTTTTGCAAAGCTTTGATCTGCTGATACCAAAATGTAATCAAATTTCTCTAAAAAATAATCTAAATTATGAGCAGAGGCGGAATAAAGATGTCTGATAAACAGTTCTGAAATGAATAACTATTTAATTATTTAAGCATTAACAAATGACCTAAGAAACACTGTGCAACGTTTGACCGAAGTAGTGGCTTCAGTTAAGATATACGTAATTGTAAACTAGGACGTCTCTTTGCAGATGTAATGGTGAGAAAAATTGCTCTTAAACCCACCTGATACTGAAATGACTGACCGTATTTATACAGCAACACATGCCAGAAAGCAGTAGTACTTTTAATTACTATATTAATAACTTCATTAGGCGGTTGGTAAAAAATACACTCATATAATGTTTCAAACCGCGATAAAGATCTTAAACGAACAATGTATTTAAGTGTTTTATTTTTTAAACTACGACTTGGAATTACCTAGACTTGGGGTTACCTAGAGCATAGATTAAAACCATGCTTCGATAAGCATTTCCCTGAAATGAGTTATTGAAACTTGGGATGTCTGTAACATGTTGTGGTGCGCTGTCACCAATGGTTGCATTCAAGGTGTGCAGTCACTATTTTCCACGTGTGATCATATGCTAGTGGGAATTGCATAATTGTATCTTCTTGGCCGATTTATGGAACTGTCGCCGAATCCTGAACCTTTATCACGTGTTGTACTTCATATGGGGCCCAACCAGATAATGATGATTACGGGCCTATTGTTGTGTCGTTACGCCATTGTATGTTACTTTAAAAGGATCTGGTCAATAGCTGAATTGGTCACGTGACCCAAAAGACTGACGCCATTAGCTTATTTAAGCTACTTGCTGATGCAAGTTTAAAGCTTAAAGATAGAATGATAAGAATCGAATCAAAAAGGTAAGAAATATATTATTTTAACTCAATTTGAGACATTTTACAGTCGGAGCATCCGAACTGAAGAGCGGTGCTGTTAGTGGGACCTGGTAGAGCTTAGGCAACCGATAACAAGGTTCCGGTTTCCAACCAATTGTCTGGTTCCATTAATGAGGCGAATTGTTTGGTGCATCTTTAGTTGCTCTTCTACTGAAACAGTGATGACTTCTACATTGTAGCACAGCATACCTTCAGCCAAGTCCTCTATGGCCTTCCGCACCCCCCGGTCGAAAGCTCTGCCATCAGCTGGACACTGGAAGGACAAGCCACACCTCCGGTCCTCCACCTTCCAGTGGTGAAATGTGGGCATTGCAATGGTGTACACTATATCCTTCCTCAGCGGACAGTCCAGGATCACCTGCGCATCCGGCCAATAACAACTCAGTGACACTCTACCAAAGCAGACCTCTACCAAGCTGCTCATTTCTCTATATCACCATGTTAAGAAGCTAAATCTTAAATCCAGATTATAATTCTATTATTTTAGTATTCAGCTAACCTGCATCCAGCAGGGTTTTACCTGTTTGTCACGCAGCCGCTCTCCCCGGATGACGAACTGGGAAGTGCTGGAGCCAGAAAGATACGTCACCTCTGAGGGAAGGAGGCGACAAACGCCCACCCGGCTGAGGGCCCCTCCATCTTGAGCCAGCCAGCCGCCGCTTGAATCGTCCCGCGTCATCACCACCGCTTTCACACGCACGATGTAGCTGTCACTGGAAGGAAATCAGAGGTGAAAGATTAATGGAAAGGGAAGTTCTAAGTATCTGAATACTTTAAGAACACACAGAAAAAAATTAACCTTAGATCAACTCAATCATACAGATAAAAAAATAACTCAATCAGTTATCAGATGCTTGTTTTGTTACAGTAGGTTCTAATTTGCTTATATGTGGTAAAATATACAGAGTAACTACCGCCTGCAGTTACACCAAAAATGAGAACAGAACCAAGAGTCAAAAAATAATAATTAAATAAAAACATTGCTAACAAATAAAGAAATATGTACCGGTAGTAATAATTTAAATTTACCTCTTCATTTAACTCTTCCCCTTGGGGAGCAGTGTGGGGTAAAGGGTCTTTGCTCGGAGACCCAGAGTGGCAGTCTGTGGGAGTGGGGCTCAAACTCAGAAACTCAAGATTCTAAGCTCTATGCCCTAACCAGTAGGCTGCCACTCACCAAAAAACATAGAAAATAAAATAAAAACTAACATTTTAACCTTGATTCAATCACATCCTTCCAGAATGGAACGGACCATTTCTTCCACTAGCTGCACTTTATGCACATATCTTCCTCCTAAGGGTGTTTGATATTCCTACAAGTATTTTTTTGGAAGCCCTTGGATTCATAAAGACAAATATTCTGCATTTCTTTTAGCAGATTTCTTTGCAAAGTCAAAATGGACTTAAAGCCACAAAAGTTTTAGTCCAGCACCAGATTCTCACCCTGGCAGACTGTTTGAGGGCGTCGCAAGTCACGACTTTGCTTGGCCCTCACTGTTGTGGGAGGTGTTGCACCAGAATAAGTCAGCATTAAAACACACACACTCAGGGATCAATGTTCAACCCCTGACTGTCAACGATTATGTTTTTAAGTAAAACATTTTGTAAAAAATCATGCATGCAGCATGACATTTATGTGATTATTATACAATTAAGCGAATGGTGCAATAATTTACAGCCTTTCACTATATTGGTATTATATGGGTAGATAAATGAGATCATGCAGGTACAGCAGTTTGAACTTGGCTAATAAAACCACTAAAAATCAAAGCAATTACGTTTTACTCCTTTTTAGTAACATGATACAAGTTTATTTTTTAACAGATGCAGACATAACAGCTCTATCTGTGAGTGATAGCTGCTTCCTCAGTTCATTGGTGTTCTTTTTCTAAAAACACCCCCAACTTCACACTTTAAGAACTGTTATCTATAATCATACTTTACTGCTATTTAAACTTGCTTTGTAGTCTATTACAACACTTCCTGCTGTAGAAGCATTGCATTGCATATATCCTGCAGGATATGGTTTATGTTTTTATCTTTTGTCCCAAATATGAGTGGTAAGTTCAAAGACAATATGCAGAATTATTTTTAAATGCACATTTCTTGTTAATATACAGTGTTATGAAATTAGACAATATTACCAGAATTTTAACATTTAAAGCAACTGCTATTGTATTTTGTTTGAAATAAAAATCTAAATCTGAAAGAGACACTTGTTTATTTTCCACCATGGTTGTACAGGTCTAAAACTACAAAAAAAGCTTTTTTTTAATAAATGTTTTCAAGCCCTTTAAAAAGCTTTACTATACATACACTTTGTCATAATGAAGGATAGATCACACAATCCTGCAACTAGCAAGAAAAATTAAACGAGTTGTTGCATGTCTCAATAAACCTGGACAAAAAGCTATAAGTTGTCTGTAAAGCAGCAGATTGCAGGCTAGCTTGTTTCTTAGTCGTTTGACAAATTAAAACACCTATTGTAATTGTGTTTGTTCAACAAAATGGGAAAAATTTATCATATTCAACAAAGAAGCACATTTAAATCAGTAGTAAATTACAATGGTAATCTTTATATCGGCTAGAAAATGAAAAATAAATATCGTTGCAAATAGAAAATTATTCCATATTTTGTATTAGTCAAAGTGTATCTTTTTTCCTGTTTAAAGGAATTATTATATGCTGTAGATTTGCATTTTAAATTCTTGTGTTAATACCGTGATACCTTCAAACTGACAATTTTCCTAAGCTCGTCACACTGCAGCCATTTCATACCACAAGAAATTTGTTTATTAATGTAACCTTACTAACTTTTTAAAAAATGCAAATAAATGTTTGCCAAGGTTTTTTTTTTATTAACTTAAAGGTTGCTGTACTAAAACAATTAAAGTTGACAGACAATAAAACCAATATGTGATCAGAATTAGTCAGATTAAACAAATAAGACTGTTTTTTTAATCCCAGACCACAGATCATTTAGATAAAACAACAGCCGGCTGGAGCCTTAATCGGACACACATTTAAAACCACATACAAAACCAGTGAGATCATGCAGCCGCAGTTTACTGTTTAGCAACACAAAACAATATGTGACCAAAAAAAAAAAAAACCCAAAGCAAAACAAAAAATAAACAAACAGGAGACAGCGGAAGTGAGCAGCAAAAGCACGAGTCTTAGCATGGCAGCCACCACCCACATGGGGACCTAATGGACACGATCCCAATCCTCATGAATGACCTGACAATAACAGGATGTGCCTTTATATTTTCAATCGAAGCTCTTTGTGGGGCGGTGGGGACGGGGCATGTGAAGAGGGACATTAAAAAGAGATATGGAGGTGGAGAGGAAGCGCGGGAGTGAATGAGAACGGGTAGAATTAGCTTTCAGATAGTGCAAAGGATCTAATGCAGACACACACACACAGGTGGCAAAACTGGTTCACCAGCTCCCGCCCACACACATTCAGAAAAGTGACTGAATGACAGAATGGCTGACTGGGTGATAGCAGACAAACAGCCCTTACAGAAAAGCAACCACAGAATCAACCTTTAGTGTGAGAAAGTATGGACGCTGCGACTTAAACTGATGCTTTCAGATAAGATGTAATAAACAGACTAAATTGAGGTTTAGTGTTGTTATTGGTAGAGGCCCGTTTAGCTGTGTCATGTCTGTTGTTACTCGTCATGTCAAAAGCTAGATGGGCGTAGGCCAAAAATCATTCACCTTCCTTTGTGCCACTAGAAAACTTGAAAAGCAACAAAGGAAATAAGATCAATTTGAAAGAGAATTCGCAATGGTTCCCTCATTTACTGTAATATTTAATTTCCCTTTAGGATAAATAAAGTATTTTTCAACTGAACTGAATTTCCATTAACAAACTAAAGTAACTGCAATCTGACAAACTAGTTTACAGTGAGAAGCAACACACCTATTTTACAATAAAATAAAAAAGGCAAAAACTGTTTAGAAAATAGGCTTTATTTGCTATTTTAGAGTGAAATAACCAACCAAGAGCATAAAAAGGGTTGCAGTTTCCATCAAAGGAATAAATAGTCTTGTTCCAGGAACCTACAAGAGATTATCACCGTAAGCCTTAAATAAAAACAACCAAAATAAACTCCTCAATCCAGCTATAGCACAAATGACATCCCAAACTTAGACCTCCTTTTTTCCATACGTGAATGCCAACTCTTAACAAGGCCCATATGCTGCCAAAATGCAGCTAAAAGGGTCCAAACACCCAAAACCTGGTCTTCCCTTATAATTACCACTGAACCAGAGCTTACCAACCAAAATTAAAGCACTCCCACACAGTCTACGACATCATATACCAAGTCTACGGCATCGATGAGGTCACCTCTAGTTATATAGAAAGAGAATGATGCGTGCTGTTGGGTAACATGTTTTCCAGTAACTGCTCGAGTTTGTGAAGCTAATAAGCACCATTATTGAACAACCGGACAGCTGACATTCAATCGATAGAACATGAGACAAATAAAAAACATTTTCTTTTTTGAAAATATATAAAATGATCACATTACTTATATTTAAATTTAAAAAGAAACAATGATTAAGACTGGTGTTTGACATATTTAATAAAATAGTGACTAAAATATGTCTTTTCTTTTTGTTCCCAATACCTAGATCTAAGCAGGGGATTCCAAGTGTTTTTAACATATGTATAGCACAACATTTTTAGAAATAAATAACTAAAACAAACTGATACAAGGATGTAGAAAAGCTAAGCTACCCGCTCGTGTAGCTAGCCTGTATTCATCTGCTGAAAAATACCCTTCGATGTGTAGATTTAAAAAGATTGCTTTTATAAAAACGACGCATGGAGCTCCTTTAGTTTTTACCCTATGAGTGTTTTTCTATAACTGTTCGGCTTTCTTGGAAGCAAGGCTAAAATGTACCTTAGGCCTTCAGCCAGCTGGATGGCAGTGTGCAGCAAAATGTAGAGCAGAGGAAAACCATTGTGACTCTTTAAAGCTAAAGAAACTCTTCTTTAAACAGCAACCTCTTTTTTTAACCTTTGCTTACCTTAAAATAGGAAGCTAGTCTTTTCCATTTGTTAGATTTAACAAACCGGGACTCGATTACTTTAAACTTCAAATCCTGTTAGTCGTTATATATTCCTGGCCTTATGGCAGCTAAAGGGTTACTTTAAAACCCATAGTTTTGCCTTTACATGACTCAAACACACACATCTAGATATAGAACAACGCACGCATGCCACCCACATAGTGAAATAAACCCTAAATTCTGCAATAAATAGGCACACGTGCTCTCAGATACATGATCCAGGCTATCAGCTCTCTGAGATGAACTTGTCACATTTTGGTCTGTCTTGTGACCCATGTCTAGAGCCCCGTCTGCCGACAGGCCCTATAATCTGTGGTTGGAACACACAGACGGCCACAACCAGCAGCAAAACGCTACTTTAATACACTTGGAGGAGACTAAACATCTTGGCACAGATGCACTCACACTAAGGTTTAGGAACTGTGAATCTAATTCTGTCCATGTGAATGTTGCATGAGATGATCCTGAAATAAGGACAGACACCCGCTTTGACACAAGATGACAGATACGCTATAATGATCAATGCGTACACAACCCAGCACAAAAATAAAAAGTCTCACACATACTTTTTTCCCCCAACAGCAGCGAAGTGGTTGTGAATTAAAGGATAAATACTGTTTTAGAC